GCCCCCCCCCTCCCCCCCCCCCGCCACAGGGATGGGTGAGGAAGCGCTGCGGGCCCGCACCTGAGGGGCCGGGGCGGGAAGGAAGGGCGGGAGGCGAGGCGTGGGCGGGTGAGGCAGCCCGGGAGCGGCGGGGCAGGGCAGTCCCGCGGGGAGCTGCGGGCAGGAGGCGGCTGTCAGCCGGCAGAGGGGCGGCCGGGCGCCCTCACAGCAGGTACCGGGTCGGGATGGGGAGGGGGGGCGAGCGGTAAGGGGAGACCCCCAGCCCGCGGGGCTCTCTGAGGAGAAGGGGGCGGGCGGCAGGTGCGGGCCGGGGAGGCCGGGCGAGAGAGACCCCGCGGCGGCCGGCGGGGCACGGAGCCTGGCGGACCGGCCCCGTCCCCCCCGACCCCCTTTGGCTGTCCCCCCTCGGCGGTGCCCCCCGGCTGCCCCCCTGCCCGGCTCCCCGCGGTGGGGTGGCGGTTGGTTGGCTTTGCCCGGCCGCTGGTCGGGTACGGAGAGGTGGTTGCCGCTGAAGCGCCCGCTCGCCGGTCCCGACAGGCTCCGTGTCGCGACAGGGGCCCGCGTGGGTGTAAAGGGGCACAGAACTTGGCCGCTTGGGCCGTGTTGCCAAAGTGACTCTGCCGTAGCTGTCACTGAGGTGAATACAACACGGCTGCCGTGTGTGTTGGTACTTCTTGAAACGTGGTACTTTCGCAGTTTGTGAATTATCATTTTCTCAGCGTGCATATCGGTTTCTCTGTGCGTGGGGCTTTCCCGCTGGGAGTCTTCCCGAGAAACAACAACTGATGACCTTTTTTACTAACCCTGAGATATATTTCACCCGGTGCACGCTGATAGGTATCTTGAGGGCAGGTTTTTATAGTGATGCTTCTTGAAGGATGTCCGCGTGTTGGTCTATGTGGTTTTCTTGCAAGTAGGCTGAAACTTGACAGCTGAATTGAACTTGCAGCATGTTAATTGCAGAAGGCGGCGTTACGGGGCAGTTTGTGTTACAGGCGATGCCGCACACCTGTGGTACCCTGCCACCGTCCTACGGCATCGGGGAGGGGGGCATCTGGGAGTGAAGAGCTGTCAGTGCCTGGGGTTGGTTTGTTTATGGATGCACCGGTGTTAACAGCACGATTCCAGGATTTGGCTCAGGGCTATACTTTTTTTTACGAAGTGACAGACCTTGAGAAATGGAAGCGAGTGGAAAAGTAGTAACTATATTGAACTACTGCAGAATTAGATCTTCATATAAATTTGGTCTGAGATTAAATTGTACTTAAAACAGTCTCGAACTGGTATTGCTATAAGAAAATGACCTTGTAAAATCCAGATATTCTGCGTGAATTAACTTCTAAGCATTATCATGGGCTGTTAAAGCAGCAGGCATGATCATAAGCAGTTTCAAACTGTCCTGTTCAAAAGTGTATTTTGTGATGCATACCATACAGGTGGATTCCTGGGTGGTTCAGATCACTCTGGTTATTAAACAGCAGTCTAAAATAAATACCATCTTAAATTTTAAGCTCTGGAGAATTAACTTTGCTTCGATGGGGAAACGTGCCCAGTGTCTCACATCAGGCATTTCTCTAGATAAAGAATGGAAAGGTCAGTATCGTGGCCGTTCCTACAATGTACACTTGTGCAGGAAGAGAATTAGATCTCAAGGGATGTGCGCTGGGCCACAGCTGTCCAGTGCCTGGGCAACTGAATGATTCTGTGGGCACCTGCTTCTCAGAGCTAGATCCTTGCAGTCCTAACCCTTGGTTTTTGATCCGCGCTGGCTCAGCATTTTCCAGTAATATTTGCTGAATGCATTGAGGTCTGCTGCTCAATGTGCCTTTAGTTTTGACAGTGTTGATTAGTTAGGTGCCCAAGCTGCCCAGGGATCCAGAAGTGAGGTGTTCCTTGAAAAGGTGCTCTTGGACAGCCCTAGCATCTTCAGATTACATACAGATGATCAGGACCGCTTAAAAAACATTATTCTTTCTAGGATTTGTCTAGAGCTCTTACATAAATGTGAAGAGCCAAGTTCTGAATTTGCATCTTTAATTTCCCAGGAGAGTGCTAGAGCCATAAACCTGTGTTGTGTTCTGGGCTGGTGGTCTCTGACTCCTTGCTTATGAAACTTTTTCACCTTGCTTTCAGTAAAAAAATATTCATTAGGTGAGCTGTGATTCTACAATTTAGTGGCCAGGGCGTGAATCCAGGAGGGGGGAAGTTTCTAGTCTTTTTTCCAGCTGTGTGTTAAATATTAAAAATATATTTGCAGCATACATGTGGTTAAGCAATATTGGATTTCAAGAAAAATATATTTATTATTAAAGTGTCTCTTGATTCTTGCAAATGCTTATAAAAATCACACCTACTAAAAACGCTGCACCCAAAGGGGATGTTGGACTTCACAGAAGTCCCATCAATTCCACTGCCGCCGTTCCCGGCACTTAATTTAGGTGATGGATCCCTGGGTGATTAAGTCCTCTTTCTTCTTACGCTGTGGAAAGAGTGAGCGTGGGCAGGATTGTTCCATCAGTCGTGTGTGTGTAGGCTGTTAATCTACAATGCTGGAGAAAAAGCTCAGACTCTGGTCTTTCTTTCTTTGTCCTAATCATTAGGCTTAGTCATTTGACTTGTTTGTTCTGTCACTTGGGTTCCATATCAGCTGATTTGCCTTTCCCTCGGCCGCTGTTCATCGCGCTCGGAGGTGTTGTAGTTTCAGATGGGGGTTACTTGGAATGCACTCCCCAGGGTTGTGGGTTGGCTGTGAAAAGGGCAGTCCTGCTCTGGCCCCCCGTGTTCCCCACGGTGCATTCTGACCCCACCTTCTGCAGTCAGCCCCAGGGGGAGTTTGTTTATTTTGGTGGTTTGATTTTGCATTTAAGCAGTGAGCTGGGCCAGCTCATCCTGCAGCTGCATGTTGACTAGATTTAACAGGAATGGCTGTTGGCAAGGCAAAGCCGAACTGCCCCTCTGGTAGCAGCCAGCCCTTTACACGCCTTGAGGACAGGCGGACACAGCCCCCGAGGACAGGCGGACACAGCCCCCACATCTGGTGGGCAGAGCCAGAGGACGTGCCTAGGAAGGGCAGCCTCCACTAGGAAGCCAGGCTTTGGCCAGCTTAGGCCTACTGTCTTCCTGGGAATCCTGCCCGCTTTAGTTTGTACCAAGAAGCACCCCTTCACTTTGGTGGAAGCATTTCTTGAACGTGTTTCCTTGATTAAAATGCTACTTGCTTCATTTCGTGAATTTTGCATGATGCATATCCTGACCT